AAGCATAATATTTATAATGTTGATATGAAAGGCACGTGTGTAAAATGTGTGTGCACATAATTATCATCATCTTAGCCATTTCTTTATAGTTTTTAAAATCAAAGAGAAAGATACCTGATCAATTTATCTTTTTATAAATGTTAGAACAGAGGACATTGAAGTTCAAACAAGTGTAGGCAAGCCTTCATTCAATAGGTGCCTATTTTTGTCGTTGATATTTATTATTATCAGTATTGTTCTATGGCAACGGGATGTCCTAAACTACTCTACAATGAGGTGTTAAAAGAGCAATAAAGTTAATCATCATGATTAACTGCGTCGTAGTCTGTTTTGTGAGCAGTTAGAAAGCTTACTTATAAAAATTTGTTCTGTAATAAAAAATCATTGCTATTTACTGCTCTGTTGTGTAAATGTATCAATGAGTTCTGTCAACAGTATTTTGTAAATGAACAGGTCACTTCAATTTTTTGTAAATAATGGAACTTGTCGAAACAATTTCAACAGAATGTTAAAGTATGACTTTAATCCCAGGAATTGCGACTAAAAAATAAATAAAGGGGGATTTGTTTCATAAGTTCGAATTCTTATTTTCTAGATCCGCTAAGTGCAGTATCACCTGAAACGAAGGGTTTTAAGAAATTTGCACAAAAAACTTATATGGTCTCAGTTATTATTTTTAACGCTTTTAGTTGTTGGTTTCATTTATTACTTTCGTGTTCTCGTAAAGGTTCGCCGGTACAGTAACAAATACCTAAGCGAAATTGTACCTTTATACCTACATAGTTAAAGATAGGTATATTAAATGGCGGCGATGGAAGACTACACTTGAGTATTGTTTTTACTCCAATTACAAAACTTTATTCGTTTACACGTGTCATATGTTATAATAGGGTCATGATGTCATTAGGCCGTGAAAGGTTAAAAGAACCATTTATTAGTCCCAATATATTCTAGGGCAATATGGATTAAATTTGTTTAGTTATGATTAATCACTTGTTGATATGTAGTTCTATACAACCTTCACGCGATTTTGGGACACAAGAAAACTTCCATAATGTATTCTCATTTTTCTACAATCAAGGACCTAAATTTTAATCAAGGACCTGCTGTATATTTATTAATTAGAGTTATACATCTATAAATTTTTCTCATACCTTTTTATATAATTTTTACATAATAATAATGACGTTTAAAATCTTTTAAAAACAGTGAATACTCGTACCATTAGTTTCTCTCATTTATTTAAGTTCAAATGCGTAAGTTTAATAAACTACTTCTTCTGGAACTTAACCAATTTTTTTTTACTGTGGAAGAGCTATGCTTTAGAACATATGGGTCGGCTCAACTAGAGTGATACAACAGCCTCATAGAAAACCAGTTAAGCAGTTCTTTTCACCGTATCCCCAAACCATCCCCTACCCCCAATACTGGGGGGATACAACTTAAGAGACACAGTTGCATACGCGGCGGTAGTCGCTTAGTATTTGTCGATAGGAAGAAATTTGTAAGTTCTCCTGATTATAATTCACGTATTTTCTACTTGTTAAGTAAATAACTATATCGGTTAAGTCCTTAAATTTATCTTCAAATGTATTCTTAACAGCATCTCCTTACCACTTAAGTAGTTTAACAAACTAAAATTCAAGCACAGATTAGAAATCAAAGCAATTTAAAATGCGAAATACTGTAAATTCGTGGAAAACTATAACCCACGGAACTCACGGAATTTTTCAAATCCTAGCAAAACTACGTCCATAGAGAGGATCCTTCCTGTCTATGGAAGCTAGGAATTAATCGAATTGCTCCGCGACAAGGGCCTGGCTTTTAAATTAAGAGAGATATTTACCATGTTTATTTTCGGGATCTCTCGAATCGGGGAACGGGGACATCGGTAAATATCACGCTTATAATAACTTATCTAGTTAAGATTACCTGGTATTATTAACATAACATACTTGTAACGAACTGGCTGTTAGTTAGAAAGCCATGCATTCATCTAACACATGCATAAAAGTCGAACTAATGAAGGCGTGTTAAAAATGTACCAAATTTCGTTATATTAGTTTTTCTATCGGGCAAATGCCTACATGTATCGAATATCAGCTACAAATATTTGCGATCCATTAGCGCCTTATCTCATTAATGTATTTCGCGTGTATCGGTTGAGAACCAACTCAGTGTTTATTACAGCTCTCTACGTAGTTATAATCTACGCACTGATTAGTGATAATGTTTCGTTAAAAGTACTAAGCTTTTATTGAAAAGTTTCATGTATACTTTTTAAGAAACATTAAAAGATAAATCTTATAACAACAGTGCGCTATTCGATCTTATAACCCTTGATGACAAAATCACATTCGCACATCAAATTCATTATTCGAGTGTTGTCGTTTAGAAATGAGCTCGTAATTGATTATTTTGAAAACATATTAAACATTCCTTAAATTAAAAGTATAATTTAGCAGAATTTCCTTTTAAATTCCAAAATCAAGTCATTATTCACAAAAGCTCGTGATTTTTTGTCCGTCTTTTATCGACCTATTAATTATCATATCCTTCTATATAAGACCATTAAATATAATCCTGTAATCTAGTATCTCTTTGTTTATTCATCACTCACTATCATAATTTTATCCGCACTCGAGATTGACATACAATAATTCATTTTAGGTGGGCTTTTTGCGGCGCTTTTAATGATAAATAAGTATGATAATGCATGACAATCTACTGCTCTAATATTGTATCACTTATCTATTATTGCTTATCAAATAATGCTTTTAATGTATAAAGCAGGTATCTATTAAAGCTTAGCGTAGAGATACGTTGCATTATTAAGGTCAGTTATTTTAATCATTATTATAAGTGTTAACGTTAATTCTCTACGTAACTCTGTAGATATATGTTACAAACTATATTATGCAGTCTGCCTCGTACAGTATTTATCTTTTGCTTAAATCCTCAACGTGTTTACGTCATAATGAACTAAATTGTACGTTAATTTGTGAATGGATAACACTGCATGTCCTGTCCGATAGGCCTAAAGAACGTGGTATTATTTGACCAAGCCAGGCCTACTTCCCACTTTAGGTATGAAACTATCTACAAGTACGCCTCGAGCTCGACTTTCCAAACAAAATTTAGTGGGCCACCGCCCGCCGGCTCCGAGTTTTAGTAGCTATTCACTCACGCGGTGCTAGCTAGTAAGTACCTAACCACTGTTTACTAGAAAGGTTATTTATTCATAAAAATAGATCAATAGAATCAACTTACTAGTAATTCAATATTTATATATTTTTTAAACCTAACAGGTAGGTAATTAGCGCTGTGTGACCTGAATTGCACTTTGTTTTCTTTGACCGAGAGTTTCTATTTATTAAAATAAATTTGTGGAAGGAATCTTCTGTACTTGTACCATCAGTGGCGGATTAGCCACGTAGCCAGAGTAGCAAATGCTCAGGGTCCCCAATTTGGGGCCCCCAGGCACCAATGCTTTCTGAATTTGTAAAAGTATCTACTTATTAACTATTTCGGTTTATTAGAATTAATCGCCAAGTTTGATGCTTTTATGGCACAACATATTCAAAATCATGCCACTAAAGGAAAGGGGCTTAGGTCATATTTATCAAAAACAACATGTGAGGAGTTTGCAAAATTAGTAGCAACAAATATCTACTACTCAGTGGCATTGGATTCTACTCCAGATATATCAGAAACATACATCAAATCAAATCATCAGATATATACTCCAGATAGTATTAATGTAGATCAACTAATGCTAATGGTGCGCTATGTTCTGCCATCTTGACCAGAAGAAAGATTCGTTAAGTTCTTGGACATAGAAGATCATACTGAAAACTTATTTAATTTCTTAAGTGCGAGTGGCATTAACATCAGTCATGACAATCTTTTGACGCTGCCGACAAGCCGCTGTATATACTCCAATTGCCAGCAATAAATACAGCGCACCTATACGCGCAATACCTTACAAGCACGTATTAAGCAAACATCCGCATCTTATCCATTGAAAATCACTGTCCTGTAGTAGGTAACTGTACGTATAGGAAAATAAGAACGCATCTGCTTAATACAACATATTAAATAAATAATCGTTTGTTCTCAAATACAAATTAACTATAGTTATTCCTGTATTTTCTGACCACTGAACTAGTAAAATACATTCGTGTTAAAAGAAATCTAATAAATGATGATAGATGTAACTTTGATTAATGTATTTATTTTACTAATTTGGTATTCATATGGTTTTCACAATGGAATGTCACAATTTACATGATGCAAAATGATCTATGAATAATTCAATGAAACAAATTCAATAAATAATAAAATTAGAGCTTATTATTTACCAAAAATGCAATTATTGACTTTAAATTAATTTTTAGTTTGTAAATCTTAAAAACACTGCCATCTATTAGGTATTAGCAGAATTGTTTTGCCAACCAAATGCTAGCTACTTACCAAAAGATGGCATTGTAAAATCACGACTATTCTTTTCTGTCAATAGATGTCGCTCTTACAAAACTGCAACCTTGAAAAGAGGTCATTGTACGTTAACAATTCTAGACATGTTCGTTCACATCATTCGTTCAATCTTGTTAGTATAGTTGAAAATTTGTACTTTTTGTATCTGTGACCTGTGTGTTACTTGCCAATTGGTTGTGCTTCACATGAGTAGAACAGGTGTTTCTATTATTATTTTCGTACACGTAACGATATAAAAATATTATTTAAATTCTGTATTAAAATTCTACGTTAGATATCATTGGAAGTGACTACTTTTTCAAACTAATTTATTAAAATTGTGTAAAAGTATTTGATCAAAAAATTTGTAGTTCTGAGGTGTAGTGTGACAAAACAGTAAACTTTCTCGGCTTATCAATTTCGCGGTTGTGAGCTGTAGCAATCTATTAAAAATGAGTTGAACAAACTTTCGTGCGAACGTTGTGAGGGATATATAACACAAGTTTTATTGAAGAAGTACAAAAATGACTACGGACAGGTTCCATAAGTAAGTTCTATACCCATTATCTAGTTTTGCCGGCGTTGCAGAAAACGAACGATAAGATATCCAATAATCGGTGATAACAATAATAATCTATTGCAATTAATAATTAAATACTAACTGACGTTGTAAGTAACTCAATTCATAAAAATATTTTTTTTAAACTGTATTAATCACTAGTTATATTTGAAAACAACAGGTTAATAACGATTAAATACATATTTATACGGCTTGATTCATTAAAATACTAGGTAGGTATTTCCACGCATTTCTGCACTGGTTCTTTTCGTAATTAGTAGGTATTACTCATATAGAAAACGTTACTTTGTAATTAAAATAGGTACATACTTAAAAAAAACAATCACATCGAACATCGAGTCTTCCATCCTTTGCTTTAAATATAACAAAAGAGGAATAAATTAGGAAGGTATATTGTACACAATATTCAAATAAAAACTATTTATGTACGTGTAGAACGACTTTATTCCTCAATTAAATTGATTACAAATAACGCGTGAATAAAAAAAAAGAAAATTGATAAAATAAATATTTACTAATATCTGCTACGAGTTTCCCAATCACAGGATTCGCTACAGAAATACTGGATAATATCGCTGCATAAGGCAAATATTCTTCCATGCTAAGCGTAGACCTAATTACTTAATACTTAAGTATAGGCCACCCTTAACACTGTTCTTAGTGTTCTTAAACTGATAGAATTGACGGGCGCGTCGCCTTTGGAGCCATTTAGAAGATTGTATTTACCAAATAAGGATATTCTGATTTTGAGAGGGTTATGATTTGTGACGAACGAATGGTCCTGACATAACCCTGACCGAAAAGGAACTATTTAAAATTCAGTAGCATAGGCAAACGGGTTCTAATATCTCTGAATTTGTTTAAAAGTTAGGCTTTCTAGCTGCTTTGAAGAAAATCATTATAAAAATGAATTTATATAGCTTTTGAGCGTCGGAAAAGACAGCCCGTCAAATGCCTATAGTGTTTCGAACTGGTAGGATCCTTGGAGCCTTGTGAGAAGATATCGATCAAACAAATAAGCTATCCATTCGACGAATTGTCTTGGTGTATGTCAGCTTTCCTCGACGTGCAACCGATTTTAGAACATTTGGAGTACTAAAACGGAAATCTGACAGAAATGAGAACAACTGCTAATCAGAGGACAGCCAGGCATGACTGATCTTTAGGAAGTCTTTGGATCTGGGCTTGTATTCAGTAGTCCCGCCAGAAGTCCTATGCTTGAGATATCGATGATGATGATTACATCATTTTACTTATAAGGAGTCCTACAGAAAAATGGACATGTTAAGACATCCACATAGGTACATCGAGACAGAAACTAACATAATCATTGCATCACGCAATTAAAGTTTTCTAGACGATTAGTAAGTATGTATACAATTTCCCAAAATCAACCGTTGGGCCCCTGCCCGCCACGTATGATCACCGCGCCTGGTCGAAGGAGCCTCCCTTTATGTTGGTGGGGACATAACACGCATTATTCCGTTTGTATCAAACGTATTTAAAAAGAAATGTGGTTGGGCAATGAACATATGAAATACTTTTTCCAGGAAAATACCCTTTCCCAGAGTCCAAGCTTAACTTACCCTGATAACAAGTGATTGTGCTGATAAAATGTAGACAATATAAAAACAAGAGTGACGCAGCACCGAATAACATCACACCGCAATGTAGTAACTTTTCGTGCACATTTTACTTAGGTCTGTAAAATATTTGTTTAAAAAATAACAATAGATAACAGCCCGATATATTGATACCTAACTCATTATACTAAAAACTTTCATAACTAGTCTTCCAATCTCGGGATACGATAAACTTATCGCTGAACATAGATTCCCCCAACTAACCCCTTTCGTTTTTTAAGTTAACCAAAAACATATGCTTCAGTTGGTAATAATCGCTAATCGAGCCAGCTTGTCATGTTAATTTAATACAAATACTCAATACATATATTGCACATTTAATACTAATAATAATTAATGGACCCTGTTGCTATAGCTCATTTTACATCCTCATCTTTCGAGAAATCCTCCAAGAAAACGCTTTAGGATTAAATTAATAGTCATAAGTCTGTAATTCTCATCAAACTTCAAAACAATTATTTTCAATTATATTATAACTGTAAATGTTATAAAAGACGTATAACTTTGACGTAATTCAGTAATAAATTATCAGTGTAAGAAAGGGTTATCAACTGAAAGCCATATTTAAAGGAAAATACCCTTTGATCGCGTTATTTCGCTTTGAAATTATTACACAAATATAATAAAGGCGAAAGTTTTTGACTGTGTATGTTTGTATGTTCAGTACTTCTTCACGCTCAAACGGCTGCACCATTTTTGATAAATATTTGGTATGGAGGTAGCTGACACTCTGGATTAACACAGGGTACTTTTTACCCCGAAAAAATGTAGTGTTCCCTTGGGATGAGCCAAGGAATTATTAAACCGCGGGGCGCAGCTAGTTACATATCACATTGCTCTGTTCATATTTAATATCGCCGTGTACACTACCAAACATTTTTATCCATTAATCATCACTCGTCACTTATGTGAATTTGGCAGTACATTGAACTGTTTGAGCGGCAACCAAGCGTGTCTCCTACACGCCACCACACTTCCATGGAACTCAAGCGGAATAGGGAAGTGTTATATCATGCTATATCGGATGTGCCACTCGAACTTGAACCATTATTTTAGTTGTTTGAATGGTAAAAGTTCATTATAGTCCTTATATTATCATGTATAAAGAGTTGGCCCGCAATTTCAAACGCCTTCCTCTACATTTTGTAACCCATTCGCCCGTATTCATTTACATATATGAGTCTAGGTTTTATCGCAAGCTTGTGTAAAGGTGGATTTTGTCAATCGATTTAAGTAATATAATAATAATCTTCATAGGCTCGCGTTAGGCAGCTGGATTAAAGGCCTAATGCAGAAAGCAGTTCTTCTCGATACGGCACGTGTTGTTAGAAGGTTTTTGTACTGGTGTCCTAACCACCGGTAGTTTGGTCCCTGTACCCGATACCGATGGGACACATATGACCATAAGGCGAAATATTAATATTAGGGGTTGAAATATGACGTTATGGAGGATTGGCTCGAGAGGCGTCACGGGACCCTCTCATACCGACTGACGCAGGTGATCACTGGGAAAGGATGTTTCGGGGATCACCTGTGTCTGATCCGCAAGGAGCCAACGCCTGAGTGCCACCACTGCGATGGCCAGACCGTGGACACGGCTCTCCACACGCTGGCAGAGTGCCCGGCGTGGGTTGAGCAGAGGCGAGACCTGGGGGTGACAGGTGAGGCCATCTGTCACCCTAGCAGAAGCAGGCCGGGGTGGCGGCGAGCGCGTTGCGAAGCGCGCTCGCTTCCAGAGAGCAGAGGGAACATGGGGTTTGCACACGGGGGGGTCGTCTACTCGTCTGTAGATGGCACGAGGTATGTCGGGGCACCAGGGACTTCCTTTCTAGGGTATACCTGGTTCCCCGGCTATTAGTACCCGAGACGGCGTGCGGTTTTAGTCGGTTCGAGTCCGACATGCCACCGATAGGTGGTATCCGAGGGGATTTCCGCACGGAAAAAAAAAGGGGTTGAAATATGAAATTGCCGATTTGTACAAAAAAATTAAAACTCGCTTTTTTCTAAGATGTAACTTATTTATTTAATCAAAATATTAACCCTCATAGCTATACATTGCTGCCATCTAAAAGGCAGTTCATTTATGCCTTTACGATAGAACTCTGGGGTTCTAGTGTGAGCAAGTGTAAGCATTTTGTACTGCCTCCTGGGAAGAATTTTTTTTTTATCACGTAGAAAATTGTCCAAATCACGAAAAATTTGGTAGTCCATTTTTTTATCGTATTGGTTTGATGCAGGCATGCATTGTAGGCAGAATAACGTTAAACCAAGCCGCTAATACCTGGGTAGTTTGACCCGAATCGGCTTCCACCATCTCTTTCAATTCAGCGTTATTCACCTGTGTGGGCGGTCGTCTAAGTTGTTTCGTTCTTCAAGTCGAAGTTTCCAGTAGAAAAGTATTTAAATTAAAAACGCACGTTGCGTTCATCAGCAGTCTCCGCTCGCAAACGCAGCGTTGATATTGCGAGCCATTTATGCCGCGTTAGTTCCGCGTCGCAACTCGTATTCAAAAATGACTTGGATTTCGAAGAAGAAGATTTCGAAGTATCAATGTTACACGTCTTTTTTACATGAAAATCTCACACCATGAAGGTTTTCTATATGCCAATTCAAAAGTTCTTTATTAGGACTATGGAACCCTAAAAATCAGACTTAATCAATCAGGTAGACTTAAATAGATAAAAAACCGATGCCCCCTTTGATAAGGTTTTGAACCTAATTTGCAACAAAGCAAGCGAGTTTTTAAGTTTTCACCTCATATAGCTAACCGTAACATATAGATTATTATCTATGCACACGCAGGTTAAGTACCTAGTTATTATTTAACCTAAAACACGCAACCATAACGACAACTCAGTAGGTAATCAGTGCAATTCAAAAAAACGCACTCTTCACAAACCAGTATCAATTATATACAGGAAACACAATTCCACTTTCACTCGATAATCAAAGCAGGTATTAGCTAAACGGAAATATTAACGATAACATAACACCAATCAAACACTTTCAAAATCACTTGTTTTGTAATAATTTTGTTTTTTCAGTCATTCATGAACATACTAAACCTAAAATTCTCATTGGAATCTGTAAATATTAAGCTAAGTTTAGCATTTATGTAAGTACATTTATGCAAAGCCTAAAACTCACAGCAAATCCTAACTTTCTAAAAGGCAATGGAATTGCTTTACTTAGGGCATTTCTAATGGACAAACACTGAATTTGTTTGACGACGATGGAAGTTCGCCCTACAATGCCAAATTTTGAATTGAGAACGGAGTTTTCAATCCTTTTTAAACAACATTAAAAAATATATATCCTGTCATGACATGAGCATTTAAAAAATTGAGCCCTTATTTTGACACCGTGCAATATTACGTACCGTCTTTATTTTTACAACCTTCTGGTTAGCGTATGCAGTCACTTTAAAATGTTTATATTTTAGTCTTTATAGTTAATTCAAATTAAAATAAAACAGATTTTAGGTTTTTAAACATCACAATAAATGATTTAGCAAGGTAGCATAGATTTGTGGATTAGTTTCAACATATCTATACGTTTTTCTTTTTCGTGTATTGTAATTCAAGGTATATAGAATCACACATCACATCAACAGCCTTTTATAGTCCACTGCTGGACATAAGCTATTCTATACATGTAAAAAGAATTCATCATCATCATCATCAACAGCCTTGAACAGTCCACTGCTGGACATAGGCCTCTCCTTAGAAAGGAGGTCTTGGTAAATAGAATTGCCTGTGCTAATTTTTTAGGTTGGCAACACCAGACAACATATATAGCATGTTACAGAAAACATCCATGATTTTAGGTCCACAAACATTTAGAATACTATAACTAACCACGATACCATAAGGGTTCATTATTGCACTGGTACCATCATGCTTGGTTGCTCGCCACATCTGAGGGTAACGCATATTGTGCTAAAAGCACACCCCAATGTGTCACTTGTCGCAGCGACAATAAGGGTCAATATTACCTGTTAGCACTCTTATCAATATATCGATTTTGACAAACAGGTGGTGATTACCCAGGGTGAAATTACGCTGTGGATATTTTACTAGAGTGAGATGTTCGTTCGGGTAAAACACATAATTTTGAAGAAGTAATAAAATTGTTAATTAACAAGTAAAGTGGAAATAAGAGGCGGGAGGACAGGAAGCTGGCTTTATCAGCGTAGATTTCTTCGAGTTTATGTACTTTCATATTTCTTAACGCATTTCTAATCTACCTTTTAACAATGACACAACCAAAAATTTACGAGTAAATACCTAGATGTGGAATATAACATGCACTATCTTTGTAGCAGCTTTGTAGAAGTTTTTTTTTTCGGAATTATATCCCTGGTGCACTGTGTGCGGGCCAGCCCCAACGGCAACTTACGCTGTATTGCCAGCAGGCTTGACTGTGTGTGTACATGAACCGCTGCTGTAGGCTTTCTACCTCCGCTGTGAAGTTCTAGTAGGGATTCACATACATACACGATGTAATATATATAGATTAACATAGTTTGTAAGAAAATTTATAGTTACCAACCCAATGAGTCAAATGTTACTCGAATAGACGATTATTATTTTATATGTTTTGGGTCGAAATAAAAGAATTGTAGTCAGGTTATCTCGAACTGTTTTCTATGAATAACTGTAGTGGGAGTGAGCTTACTATCGATGCTTACTTCAGCGATCTAACACTAGTACTCGTATACTTAGGTACAAGTAAATCTTAAGTCGCAAGTATGATTAAGAGAGACTATAAAGGCTAAGTTGTTAACATTTGAGTATGAAAATATTTTTAACAATATATAAATGAGTCATCTTAAAAACAAAACAAAATGTTTTGGTATGTTATTAAAAGCAATGCGTTTTAAGTAAATATTAGATATACATATTTACCTAGATTATATTTGATAAAAAAATGATGACATACATTGATATTGATATTGGTTTTAATGACCTTCTGGTTTTTTACAAAGGAAAATGAAAAAAAAACCTCGTTACAAGAGTTGTGATTCTAGAGTATAGTTCGAAAGACTTGACAAATATTTAAGAACGTTAAGAAGTACTTTTAGCCTCAGGTTTCCTTGTGACATTTACTTTCGCTGTTAAAATTGCATTGACGAGAAAGTCGTTAATGGTTACACTACTTTGCATTTACTGCTTGACAAAAAATATAATCATTTATTGATTATACTAGTCATTCATTTAAATACTACAGATCAATTTTGCAAGGCTTCCGAGATTTCATTGTGGTCGGGGACACAATTTCAAGCATTAAGTTCTTTGTAAAACTGTCGGGACTTGATGGTCTTGAAAAGTTTCAAGAATAATTGTATGTGGCCCCACACTAGGCAGTTTCTGCCCTGAAACACCAAACAAAACTAATGAGCCAAATGTTAATTTTATACTCGTAATTATGTCACCATTATATTGTTTTAATTGCATTATGTGTGTGCAGTGATTTCTTCTTCATTTTCCCTCAAATCTATGTAAATTCTATTAATCTTACTGATATTTATCTAGCAATAATAATATGTATACTTCAAAGTATAACTATTTATTTGTAAAATGATCTTAAATTAGATTATTTAATGTAGGGTTTTCAAATATTTATACTTTTCTCACACACCCATTATGTGTATACAATATGCCGATGTGATATATTATGCGATGCATAATTACGATATCATGCATTCATACAATCACGCCTTAATCCCCGAAGCGGTAGACAAGGATGTACAAAACGCCCACATATTGCTAACTAAAATTTTAATAATAAAGATATATTAGTCCTGTAGATATAGAAAATAATGATATCGACAATAAAATATATATTTTGTATCAAACCATATAATTTTTATTTAAAGGTTATTGCGTCTTTATCATTGATTTACTGCGACAGCTGATTAAATACCTGACTGTTCCATTGCTTTTATCTGCTAGATACAAGCTGAATTACTAAAATAAGTATATCGTATGCTTACTTGTTTTTGTATTTAACAATAAATAACCGTAAAATACATATTGTAAACATACAGTTACAAAGTGTGTATCCGTGTGTGACGGATTAAGAATGCATTCCAGTGTCTCCACCCCTATTCCTCCTGTGGGTGTCGCAAGAGCCGACTCAGAAGGAAACTGCAAAGAGAAGGAAAACTTGACACAAATCCCATACCAACCCGTCTGGTCAACGTGGTATAATAGGCCAAAACCTCGTTTCTAAGGAGATTCCAATGTCCAGCATTGAACTCTTTGAGGCTGCTGCTGATGATGATGATGATGATGATGATACAGTCACATGTAAAATTAAAGATTAAGATGAAATGCAAGCTTCTCGCCTTCCATTTTGCAAGAGCGAGAACGGGGTGTCTGTATTTTTTTTATATTGGGACTAATCCCACCCACACGCCCACCACTGTAACTCCTGTACACCAGGATCCACAGCAGTGACCCACGAACACACCGAGTTATGACACTCGGGAAGTCCCAGGAAGAAATTAAACTGTCTTGGAGCCCGCAACGAAATTAATCAGAAGAAAATTGGAGGAGTTGGAAATACAGTAAATCCACTTCCCTCCTTAGCAAAGCGGGAGACAAAATGAAGTAAAATAGGCATACACCCTTTTAAACAGGGAAGCACCACGGCCACAAATTTTTACGGGTCCTACATGAGCTATATTTGATTTCTATAATATGTATGGCAGAATCGCCTAAACACACGGAAATTCACCCTAGTTGACACAAGATCCCCATAGTATACCGCCCCAGATGTCACCTGCAAGCTATTCAGCATTATATTACGTTCATTATACCAAAGACTACATTCCCAGAGGATATGATGATGAGCAGATTGTTCATAATGAGAGTTAGGTGTTGAGCATTGACACAATGGTGACTCGACTAATTTAAATGAATATAACTTGCTCTTAAAGTTACCATGACCCGTAAGAAATTGAGCGACACAGTGATCCACCTCAAGCCATGTCCTCGACAACCGTTCGCGAACAGATGGAAAAAATTGGTAAAGATGGCGCCCCTTGGATGATTCGTCCCAGCGTTGCTGCCATTCGTCTATGAGGTCATTATAGACATCGGATTGCTGTTGAAGCAATCTTGTAATTTTACCGCGATCCCGCGCGCCCAAGAAATCGCATTCCATGTTTTGTCTTGAATAGTACATGGCTGCACGTCTCTGCACCTCGAGACCGACCGGAAGGACACCTGCCAACACCGGCAAAGCCTCAGTGCTAACCGTCCTATATGCCTTGCACAAAAATATCAGTGCAAGTCGTTGGCCTTGTAACAGTTTGCGACGGACAGCGCCTACGGTCGCCCTATCGGCCCATACAGGTGCACCATAGCACATAGAACCTTAATAAGTAGCTCCGTATATGATCTTTAATGTATTAAATGATAGACCCCATGTCGCAGTTGATATCCTTGTCAATGCACAGAAACTCTTTTTAGACTTTTCATTAACTATTTTAATATGTTCGATAAATGAAAAGTTGTCTGTATTACAGGATATTGTTTGCTCTGGTTGGTCTAGGACATCCTAAACTCACCGGCATGGATAAGTCTGATACAGTTCGTTACAACTTTCCCTATTACGTATATAGTTCCGTTTAGTCTTTTACATATAAAATCACATAACATAGACTTTGCCCGCGGCTGTGCGCCAAATGTCGACTTTGTCAATTAGTTTTCCCTATTCGGTCCTTCAGACACTATCTCCGTGCGAAATTTCATCCAAATCAGTGCAGTAGTTCTAACGTGATGATTTTTGTGTGAGATTTGTGAAATTATTATTATTATTATCTATTCAAACTTTCGCATACGTAATAAATATAAAGTAATAAAATAATAATATAGTAAAATACAAGTATTCAACGTCTTGATAAAGATCATTGACAATGAAATAAAAATAATGTACCCATGCATTAATTAGGGCTAAGAATACTCGTATATAACGGTAAATAGAATATTCCGTTATCTACAAAAGCAGGCCATTGCCTTACATATTTAGATATTTTTAATGTGTTAATTTTGATTTAAAATAATAGAAACATCTATTTCCCTGGTGCGTCTTGATTCAAAATATCTCTAAGTACGACAAGGCCCCCCTATCGTTTTATATCCGGGACATTCCTCCCTTGACCCCTTTTCAACATGGAAAGTTTTTCTACTGACGAGGCAAACTCTTGAAAGAAACTCTTTTTTTCAGAGCCGCCAAAGATGGCTTACTAGAGGTGTTGCGAGAAGCTACAAGAAAAGAATGCAACAATAAAGATGAATCAGGCATGACGCCCACGCTGTGGGCTGCCTTCGAGGGACACATCGAAGCACTGCGTCTATTATGTGGCCGAGGGTAAGTTGTTACTTAAAGAAAAGTTCTTAAAAAGTATCTCTGATTAATAAACGCGGGTTTGCTATAATTGTTACGTTTTAATCTATTTCTTTCTTGTAGGTGTGTATGTAAATTGCTTATAACTATTATACCTAACAATTTAGTTACCAAAAACGGGTCTGTTGGTTTAGTGGTAAGTGACGCTGACTGCTTAGCCGGAGATCGTGAGTTCGATTCTCACCTAAGACAAATAATTGTGTGATGAGCACGGTCATTTTTTCCGTATCTGGGTGTAATTTATCTATATGTCTGTATTTAGAAATATATAAGTATGTTTATAAGCAGCACAGTCTCTTGACTCAGACTTTGGATTCAGACGGCCGTGTGTGAAATGTGTGTAGCTATTATTATTAAATAAACACATAACCACTTGTGAAGCACCGGCTACCAATCTGCCATAAACGCAGCTTGTTGACTGCTACCGTAAAAAAAAACAAAACTCGAATTGTATAAGTAGGTCAGCTATATGTAAGTATGTCCATGTGGTGACGTGTCCATGCGCTGACGGATTAAGAACCCAGAGTGTTACCTTTGTTCATCCCCTGTTCATCCCCTGCGTGTCATAAGAGCCGACTAAGGAAGCAAACTACGAAGGACAACACCACTGCAAAGAGAAGGAAACAAATCCTGAACCAACCCGTCTGGCCAGCTATGTATAGTAGGCCAAAACCTCCTTTCTAAGGAGAGGCCAATGTCCTGCTGTGAACTATTAAAAGGTTGTTGATGGTCATGAATGTAGTAAGTATAAATCTACAGTCAGTTTTGCTTAGTTTGGGACTAGATGACGTTGTGTGAATGTGGTAGAATTTTATGATTATTATTAGTTCAGTACCGGACTCAGCCTGTACTCTAAATCTGACGTCAATTAGACACCGTGTGTTTTATCCGTATTGGCTAAAATACGATCTTTCGAAACCGCATTTTAAACGACTAAGTACAAGAGGAGGTTCTTAAGTCTACAGTTTTTTTTTTATGTTTGTTACCTAAGAACTTCGTCTCATTTAGGAATTGACTTGGAAAATCCAGTTTTTTTTTATTTGGAAGGGTTTACTTCCCGTTTGATCCCCTTCAAAGGGTGAAAATTATGGTATGAAGAATACCTACATCATCATCATCAAACGATAAACCTTAACTTTCGCCGATCAAATCAATAGACTACTGCTGGAGATCTTAAAAAGGAGGTTTTGGAATGTAGTATTTTATATAGTATATCGTGTTGTGTACAGAGCATATAATTATAACAGTAAGTGGATATTGACTTTTATTTATATTCACCCGTAAGTACACATACTACTCCACGTTACTATAGGAAGAATACGATTGATTAAAATTTATCATAAAGAAGTCCGTGTATAACTTAATTATGACTGGTACAGATCCATCACGAAATGCTTTTGCCTAGATCCCTGTTATTAGAAGTGTCAATAAGCCATTAATTTGTTATTACATCAAAAGAAGACATTACAGTGTTACCGTAACATTGTGTAACAGAAACAGCAAACAATGCGTGAAAGCAACAGTGAGTGATAGGTACCAATTGTTTCTCAGCCACGCTACTTAACTGGAACATTCTTTGTTCAACAAAAACTCGGATTATGACTGTCAATAATTAAAGATGTTTGTGACCGTCCTCAATTGAAATAAACATAAGTAGTAAGATTTAAAATGAAATAATTATACTAATGATAAACCATTTATTTCAAGATCTTTAGGCGCTTAGATATTCTAATTTTATCACATTTCGAATACAATAAAAATAAAATACTATGCATAATGCATAATTATAAGGTATGTATTTAATGTGAGTATGTTTGTTCATATATTATGTATTTAAATTTGTTAAAATTAATATAAATAAAATTCACAGAGTACTTTAATACACTTACTTTAATTTCATACAATCCTTACTCATATAAATGCGAAAGTCAGTCTGTCTGTCTGTTACTGTCTTCACGCTTAAACCGCAGCATCGATTTAGATGAAATTTGATATAGAGATACTTTGAGTCCCGGGAAAAGACAAAGGATAGTTTTTATCCCAGATATCATCCTTTAGGGGGTGGAAGTTTGCATGGAGAATCAATAACCGCTGAACCGATTTAGATGTTTGGTATGGAAATAGTTTGATTCTTAAGAAAGGACATCGCCTACTTTTTACCGCGATAACCGACATACACGCGGGCGGGGTCGCAGGCAAAAGCTAGTTATTAAATAATTGTATAAAAATAATAATAACCCCACACATTTCACACAAACCGTTGCCGTTTAGTCGCAAACTAGGCAGAGCTTGCACTATGGTAACCAAACTGCTGATAAACATTCTTGTATTTCGAAATGCATACCTATCATAGATAAATTACATCCAGACTCAGAACAAATGATTATGCTCATCATACAAATATTTGTCCTGGGTGGGAATCGAACCTACGGCCTCTGGCTTAGCAATCAGGCCACTAGGCCAACAGGTCAGTCAAATATGTACGTAAGAAATTAGCGTATGTATCACTAGAACGAGAATTGCTGGATAGGCTGACTCATAACTAAACATTACGCAAAATATCTGTTTTTATATACATGTATTTTGTATACCATGAAGATTACTTACTGTCTAGTTGGTAACTAAACCGCACGAAGCTACAAATTCTGTCTTACATTATGTACTTTTTTTTTTCCACCATCACCGTCATCGGTTACATTCTCCATTTTGGCGACTTCCGGCACATGTGGACGTCGCCTCCTCGCGGTTGGCTGTTATGGCGGGTGGAGGGGAAAACCCGACTCGTCCACCCGCGGCCACACTCGGGGCGGCATGAGGCGATGGTAAGCGCGCCTCCGCCGTCCGATTCGCCGGCGACGATTTGGGTCCAAGTGGAGGTAGTCTTCGCAGAAGGTTTCGACCGCTCTAAAACATCTGCCACTATCGGCCATGGAGCCTATGACGACCGGTAGTAAGAGATCCCCCGATGATTGCAATGACGACCTGGCGGTGCGGCGCCCAAGCGGGGCAAATTGCCAGCGTGTGCTGAGCCGAGTCCTCACTGCAATCGCAGTGGTGACAGGCGGTACTCAATTCCCTCCTAGCGACCGAGTGCAGGTAATTCCCGAAGCAGCCGTGCGCCGAAAGGACCTGCGTCAGCCGGAAGGAAAGGGTCCCGTGCTGCCGCCCTGCCCACTCGACGATGACCGGCTGGAGCACTGCGACAAAGCCAGCACGTGGAACCTCCAGCCGGGACGACATACGAGCCATCGTGGCTCGGCAAGCGGCCTCACGCCACTCGCGTGCCTCTTCGGGCGGGGGCCGACTGCCACTACCCTCCCGGAAATCAGCCGTCCTCCGATATACTTCGGCGATCACTTCCGCCTCCAAATCCCACGGGGGAGTTCAGGCCAACGCGCAAGCCACCTCAGTTGAAACGGTAGGGTGCTCTAACCGCCAATATCCTCTGACGGCGCCAGAAGCGTGAGCATATTCTGTGCGGTCAGAGCCGCTGCCCACACCGGTGCACTGTACAGTGCCATTGACCGGACAACCCGTGTACAGCCGTCTTGTCGCGACGCTGGGTCCACCCAAATTGGGTAAAAGTCGCCCTAGGGCAGACGCAACGCCGACTAGCCTTGGAGCAAGCTGTCGGAAGTGCTCGTTGAAGAGCCACCTCCCGTCGAAGATCAGACCTAGATACTTTATCTGGGCCTGAACCGATACCGAGACGAGGACCGAGTTGACCACGATTGAGACGCCAGGGGGCGGACCAGAACGGGCCCATGGAATAAGAGGGCCTCCGTCTTATCCAGGGTTACATTATGTACCTAGCAGGCTTAAGGGCTCCTGTTAAAGACCGCTGTTAAGCTATTCTTTCGTTGTATTTTTGGGGTGAGTAAGTTTACCGAAGGAACATTTGATTGATAATTTTTAAGACATATGTTTGCGGATGTTTATAGGCATAATAAAGCGATATTATAGTAGATAGTAATAAAATACATATTAAAACCACAACCGTTATCGATTAAATGCCAAAATGACGTAGATACAAGAATTTTTATAGAGCTTGATATACACAATATACGGATTAGTTTTGTTACGTTTTAACATTTATAACGTGTGTATTATCGAGAACATCACACTTGATAAAGTTTATTAAATGCTTTTATTAACATAGAATTAGGAAGAGTGTATTAAATAGTAAATTATAGAAATGACAACTGCGATTTTATAATTTTTCATAGTGTACAATGTAATTGAGACAGATCTTAATCTGTCAGCTGTCACTTGGAAAGTTTTGCACTGAACACTAATGTGCGTAACAATTAATTGACTTTAATTTTTTAGCTTTAGTTTATAACCGAATCTATTAACTTCATAGGTTGAGAAATTAGTTTTGGTAATATACAAAATATTATCAAAAGTAATATACAAACAGCAATAGGGACGCCAGACCATAATATATTATTCTTGGCAGTGGGAGTTTTTATTTTATTAATTCACCTATTTATGCGGTTGCCGTTGTTACCCGGTTGTTAATATCTCATTGACTTTGTGCCAAAATTAGTCAACGAGACTATGATTTACATGGGAAATCTCCCACAGAAAAGAAGGATCCTAGGAATTAAAGACCGCAAGTATCACGTCCCGACCACGGCAATATAATTTTGACTCGTGAAGTGTGCGCGAGCATTTTAGTGAGTGTGCGAGCGCAAAATATTGCTTTTGCGAATTCATTTTGCCATTGGTGTCGTATTAGCCTAAATAATTAAAAAGGCCAGTCATATATTTAGATGAGATATGGATACATACTCATTACATGGTGAAAAAAATTGAAAGACTGATATTATCATGAAGAAATTAATAGCTTAAATTTCACAAACTAAAATTGTAAGATTTTTCTTAATTTAGAAATATCGTGGCAACCCTAATTTAAGTGGAAGATTAAAAATCGACCGTCATTGATGCAGCGTCCACGCTTTCACTTTTATATTGAATAACCCGCTATTACACTTAATTTAACCGTGAAAATATTTTTACCAGTGAACCTAATATTTGTATAGTCGTTGCCAAACTATTGTCAAAAATTTGAATCACCGGAAACACGATACGGTTTATCAATGGAGTTTCAAGTTTGTGACACTTGAGAAGATTTAACTATCTTAAATTTGATAATGCCATTTCCGGATGAAGGTGTTTATTTGTATTTTCGTTACAAAGTTGGCATCCTGTTAAAGTAGAATAAGTATATATGGAATAGGTATACACATCGTTGATAGTGAGATCGATGTTCAAAACTAACTCTTAAAAAAGTATCATCGTCTTCAATGCACATTGAATCGTAATAAGCAAACTGTATTTTTCATTCTCTAATTTTCCACCCTTAGGGTGATATTTTTTCTTTGAAATTAAACCAAGAGGGAAAAATACTCTCCTAATTTAAGAAGAATTTTCAAATCGGGTCAAAACTGACCGAATTCGGAGGTTCCAAACCTAAAAAAATATAACCGAGACCTTTTATAACCTCGTAGGTGAGATATAAGAGCTAGGGTTAGCCAGAGCTAGGCTAAGAATACGGGTGAGAGATATAAAATAAAAGTATAGAATAAGAATATAAAGCAATACTTGACTAAACCTCCTTTCTAAGGAGAGGCCTATGTCCAGCAGTGGACTAGTAAAGGCTGTTGATGATGATGATGAATACTTGACTGTAATTACGCACACAACGTGAACCTATTTTTTATTTATTTTTACCTATTTTTTTACTCCTCATCTTCTTTCTCATTATGCCATGAAACATGAAATCGCACATAATAGATTGTATACTACAATCGGGCCAACATACATCTAATGACATGTGTTTATTGCTCTAGAGGTGAACCCGATAAAGCCGACTACTTCGGCAACACAGCACTGCATCTCTCTGCTGCGCGGGGACACAAGGAATGCGTGACTTTCCTCGTGAACTTCGGTGCTAATGTCTACGCAATGGATGTGGACGGACATACGGCTCAAGAGCTTGCAGCCATCAATGGACGAGACGATATTCTGCGATTCCTAGATCAATCAACAGCTAAATTGGAGAACAATGACAAGTAAATTTAATAAACAAAACCTTGTTCTTATAAAATACATAATTATTTTCCAACTGCCGCTTATGTTACAACTTTCTCAGACTGATAATAGGGAGCATAATAATCCTGTTCATAAATTTGACTTGTCTGTTGATCTAGTGGTTACTGATTGCTAAGCCGGAAGACGTGGGTTCGATTCTCACCCAGGATTCTTTTTATTCTTTTTTTGTTATCACGAACATATCCTGTGTCGCGGAGGACTTTACAAACATTATGAAACGGGCACAAAGAACACCCAGACTTAGAACAATAATTTGTGGATCACACAAAGTGTTGTCCTATGTGGGGATCGAATCCACAACACTCAGCGTAGTAGGAAGCGGCGAGGTGACCTCTTAAACCAGTACGCCATCCTTGCAGTCAATTTTGTGATGAGCACGATCATTTGTTCTGCGTCTGGGTGTAATTTATCTGGTTACCATAGCACAGGCTCTGCTTAGTTTGGGATCGGACCATGTGTGAGACGTGTGAAGATATTTTTATTATTGATATCTAAATACGCAAAGCTATTCATTTGATACTACGTAATAGATATGAGCGTGTATAAAATTAAATTCTTTATAGTTTTTGCCAGCTATCGGAGGCTAAACTCTGTTGATACAGGTTTTACTGCATCTAATTGAAAATCCATCAAATAAACATCGTCTGCTGTCCCCTGCGAAGTAGCTTCCATGGGGTTTAACTCCTTTAGCCGCCGACGTATTTGCATTTTTGTATCTAGTCACATAAAAACAGAACAAAAAATTCTCTTAGGAAACCAGCCACGTGGAAACGTCCTTTTTTCCTTCCATTGAACCAGGTTCCTTATTCGTAACTTGATGTATCATAAGAATAAACATCACTTAAGTATGGAAAACTAATTTGATGAACGATTTATCTATTAATAATAGTGTCAAAATATGTTACGAATGACGCTATGGACTCTTAGAATGAGAAGAGTGGGGTAAAACATTACCAAATTAACTTTCAGTATAAATGCGAGACTTTCACCACGAGGAGCATTTTCAACCTGATAGTGTGAAAAATTGATATAGTTCGAATTTTAGTTAGGTTTAAATGTTAAAACACAAACATATAATTGCGCATAAAATAACGTACGTAACTCTTTTAGTAGAGCATAATAATAATAAAAAATCGTAATAGTCATAAATAGTATGATAAAATAAAATGTTGTTTTGTCTAACAGTTATTTTTCTTTTATTGTCAAACTTTGGCACAGTTATGTTCACGAGCGACTTAAAATGAAAACAAAACAAATCGACATAGTACGTGTATATTTTCGTAATTCCAAGTAACTGAAAATACCAAGGGCGAATTTTGCTTTACGCCGTTCACGTAACCAAGCTACGGTTACGGCCTAAGGAAATTAAACACGTCTTGAAGATAAAAAGATCACATGTCACATTTTCGTGACACTGCCTACATGATGACCACAAGTTAAGCATCACGACTGAATAAAATAAAAACAAAATATTTACAATGCATGATATTAGCTCTGAGATATAAAATTATTTCGAAATATATAGACGTTGGCAGTTGATTAGTTAAGATAAAAGTTTATTTTTTGAAGATTCCTTTGACTAACATTGTTCAATAGTATAAATTTATTACTTTATGAGCAATCACATTATTAAAATATTTGATAGTAGGCATTACTAGATGAATCTATACTCAAAGAAATAGTTTAATGGAGTGTGATTTTTTTACCACGACATGTTTAAGAAAGTCACAGCGTTGATCGCTGACACTGATACTTATCACAACAACATCATAAAGCATCATAATGCGGCTCTAAGCCGTTAAAAACATAAGCGGTTGATGGTTTTGCTTAATTATAAAAACCATAAAGGCTCAGCTAATGCAGCGTTACGAGTACGTGCAGTTTTTAATTACCACTTTCTAAGTGTTATGAACTGCTGCTGTATATAATTACTAAAAGTAACAAGACCACTCAAAATATTAGGATAATAAATTTATAAACTAAGCATAACCAGCCCCATTTGTATAATAGTTGTGTTTTCATGTGATTGCAGTTTCCTCTGTAGTTTTCTCTAAAATTAAGAGTACATCACTTGTAATATTTAAAGCAAACTGTATTGTATTGTATGTTATAAAGGCAATAAAGACAGAGTAGCCTCCAGTAAAAGATGATAACGGTCATCTAGTAGATCATCTACTCTAGTAGACTTTTAGACTTCTAAATTGTCGAAAACTTACTTCTATTGATTAGAGCTTAAAATCAAGAATAGTTATGAAATGAAGAACTTAACTAAAAGACGGAGAAAGGGCCGGATTTTAATCATTACGCTATTTATTAATTTTAATAGGTGTGACCCGAATTGTTCCTCTTTATATATTACTCATATGATTTATACAATCTTGCTTTACGTAGTGTAACTATAGTCCTGTATCGTCCTGTATTAATTGTAAATTTTTAAAAACCTTTTCCAGAAAAAAGTCGAAGTCCCTTAAAGAAAAAGCTAAAAAAGATTACGAGAAATCACACAAACAGTACCAAAAACGTCAGAGCAAAGCGGATCTAATGGCGGAGAAGGAACTTAAGAAGTTGGCCAAAGAGTGGGACCAGGGTTATGCTGAGGAAATACATACCATGCCACATCGACCTAGCAACGTTCTTTGGGCTCTTAAACAAAAGATGACCAGGTCTACCAGCCATGGTAAGTTGAATAGGGTGCATTTTAACCTGTGTTATATCATGCATGAATATCATACATTTTAATAAGATCATACAACGGTTTATTCCACTACGTTCACCTGGGTGATATCAATTAGGGTAAATTGTTTCCAATGTGAAATGAAGAAACCTAAAAATCTATTTCATTTCACCCCCAGGTGAACATAGTGGAATAAACCCATGCAAAAACTTAATTATATTTATGTATTTAATGATGACATGAATATTACTTTTCACATTTAAAAAATATCTTGTTTATGAGTAAAAATTGACAAAAAATTAAATACTACCTGTCTGTATTTCCTTTCTTCGATAAGTGTACTGGCGTAAGAGCATGCGTATACGATAACGGCTTAAATTAATTATTAGAAATATATTCTTGTTTTATATTGGTTGGAACCCGAAACGTTTTCAAAGTTACAGACGTTTCCAAATATACGAAAAAGAGATATGTATATTATTTACTAATAAAAGACTAGCCTTTTTGTTGTAAACAATGCTAGGCATTTATTCCCTAGATCACATTTATCTCGGAAAAATTTTTAAGACAAAGTTATTGTCCTCATCAATACGTATCTCTCAACAAGCAATTGTACGTTTTTTTTTAAATTCTGAACATTTGAATGAAAGCGTATCCATATTAACATGAACATGTACGTTAATTCACTCTAAATCAGAACGATCTGTGGTCCTAATATTATTCGTTTTTGGCGGTGACTTTGCCTAAACTTGGTCTGGCCTGTACTTATTAAAAAGTAATGTATTTTTCGTTTATTTTTAGGTAATCTTCTGGCCGACGAACAACCGCGACCTACCTACAGTGCTCTGGTCGGCACGGTGAACTCAGGTGCTCGGGGACGTGGAGCTGTATACAAGAAGGCCCTCGCCAGCAAGCTTCGGAATAACACTGTCGGTCGGAACACATTTAATAATGACGATTTTAAGGTATATATCCCCTATTTAAAATCCTATTGTCTCTTACGAACATTTTTACCGTGGCAAAGCTATGCCGTTACAAATGGGTACGGGTAAAATACGGTCGACCGGTCTGATACCAGTAGTATTATTGTCATGTTGTATTATCTCTGGTATTTATAATTTTTGCTAAATTTTCATTGTATTCTAAGACTTTGTGATTGGTTTTACTGTGGGATAGCCATGCTTTGGCATATACATATGGGCCTCACAGAACAATTCTTTCGTTGCAATTCTTTGGAAGTGAGGTCACCGAAGATTCCACCCGCTTAAAGGCCAAAAAACCACACTTTGGCTCTTGTCCATGAGCGACGGTAGTAACTTACTATCAGGTGACCTGACTGCTCGTTTTCCCTTATACTTTAAAAAAGCAAAAACTACTTCCAAAGAGAAAAACCTCTTATAGAACTCCGATAGGTTTTTTAAACTCCTATATTTGGAGTAAACCAAATTTGAAATTAATAGCATTTTTTATGTAATTTTAATGTTGAAAACGATATTTTATTATATAAATATCTGTACGTCGTCAGATGTAGCATTCCTAATCGTATGGCCTTCTCTGTAGTATTTGGTCTTTGAAACCTACCCACTAGTAAGAACGTGACACGATTATCAATATTTGTGTGTGAGAGTCATGGACACCATGCCCATGACTCTCACACACAAATATTGATAATCTTTCTCTAAATTGTTACTAGGCGCATTTTTTAAACCTATTTTTTTTGTTTTTTCTATTTGGTTAGTTTTATAATTATAACTTGTAGAAAGTTCAAGATAAGCATATTACGTCTAGATTTTTGCTACATTTTTCATTGATGCTCGCTTCCTATTATTGGTCGTAGCATTATGTTACATAACCTATGTTCTCCCGTCCAGCAGGCTTATATAGTAAAGGGATAAACAAACTGCCACCAAAATTTTAAAATTGTATAGATAATTTAGGCCAGTAGTTTGTTACCTAAAATAAAAAACTTACCCAATTTTTTTACAAATGTAACTTCATGGGTTATTATATACTCATTCACTTAAGTAGATTTTAGAACCTTTGTGAAGTCTTAGACATTTTTATTATTGTATTTTAATATCCGTTGCTTATGTTGCTATTCATATCTTATAGAATATAGGTTTTAAAGCCCAAATTTTTTTTTTGTGTAAATAAATTGTAATTGCCGGCAAAAGATAAATTATATTTTTAAACTATTTTCCTCATTATACTCTCTGATTATAAGTTAAAGGTATTTTGTATAGCCGATAAGAAAAAATATATGTTGAATAAATCAACATATTGACAGATAAATGGGGAAGCCGAAGCCGATTGTGATCGATGAAGATAAAAATCATTTTGATATATGATGTATGTATGAATAATTCAGGTTGGAATTTAAATGTATTTTGTCATTTTTATTAACGTTTTTCTGGTATTGGTAGGCAATATTGAAAAAAACATATTTGGCTCATGTCGGTTGTTTGTGTGGAAAACTATTACTAAAACTTGTAACGGGCTTTTATAAATGAATTAAAAATATGTAATAAAACATTGAGTACCTAATCATAATATTATATTATTGATGGAATATTCTAAATACTAACGTAGTCATTATTTCATGTAAAAAGTTGACCAGTTTTTATCTTGGTAAACAACTTAATACAAACCTCCGCTTATTGACACACTGTTACCGATTCCAACTTGAAAACGATGTGACGTATTTTAGGAGAATGCCAGATAGCTAATTAATAGTTGTAAACCGACCACTAAATATTTAATTTATTATTAAACAAAAAATGAATATGTTTTATTAGGTTTGAATGGTAGTAACAGTTGGAACATGAAATAGCTATTCATTTTATTTTAAAATTGTATACCGTGGAAGGTCCGCAAAGTATACAACGAGAGAGAATTGGACATTCTCGCCCCGTCAACCATGGGGTGTTGTATGGTAATGAAATGGTAGGTGTAAACATAATAAAGAGAATATTAATAATAATAAGAATATGCATCATAGTGACTTTCTTATTAGTATAGATGAGTCTATATTTTTGTCATAAAATGCAGTTGGTTGCTAATACATAATGATCTACATACGACAGGTGGGTGAAATAGAAACAACAGGTCGTCGCTCAGTGACGTCACTGAGCGGCATGCGTCGCGACAGTGAAGTGATGTACGTGGGTACGTTCGGCGCTGGCCCACAACAACGGCAGCCTGTCGCTGACGTCTTCACTGAAAAGGAAAATAGCGTGCCTGCTTCAAAACCAGCGCTCACTAGGTAAGTACTTAAGAGTGAAGTACCTTAACTTCTGTCCTCCCGAGTAGAGAGTTCATATTTAGTTCCCTTAATGTGAAAAAAAAAGAGATTACTACCTATTCAAGATTTTCGAAAATTTCGGAACGGGAGGAATGTGAGCCTACTAAGGGAAAGTTTTGATAAAAACCACGTTTGTCAAAATTCTTGTAATTTTTAATTATCAACTCTTACCTTTATTATTGAAGAATACTTTAATCACAGTTATAATCAACTACAGACATGTATTAAGGTACAATCATAGTTTTACAAAAAAAGTCAGTGGCTCCTATTACCCGACAAATGCGGCTATTGAGAGCCCATTTAACGCTCACACGTGAAATGGGTGCCATTATAATTACTCTTATACCAAAAAATTAACAAAACGTACTTTAAATGAGATCTTAGTTATTATAATAATCAATACAATAAAAGTATTTGTAATACCAATATAAAAAATATTTTTTTCCAACAAAACGGAAAAGTAAATATGTAATTATTAATGAAAACAAAATATCCAGACTTTAGGGATTCAAACAAATATAGGAATCTGGACTATCTCATATCACTGCCAGAGCACTCTTTATAGCCCCAGTTTCCGCAACTTCTGCATCTGTACCATATCTCTCCACTTTTTCCATTGTCTAAACAAATTGCACATAAACTTTTAATTACATAATTACTTTTAATCTCTTTGGTTTCTTTCTTGGTATGTTTTTTGTGGTTGTTCGATTCCTTTTACGTGGCATCTAAAACAAAAAATAAGGTATTTTATGTCTCTTAAACGTAAATGGGGAAATGGGAGCTATGTCGGGTAATGAGAGCCAAACTAGGCTACCATTAGCCGCTAACCACAATTTTGAAAAGTCACAACACAAATATGTAATTCTACTTTCAATCACAATACAACTAATTGGACTTGTTAGTAAATTAATCTAGGGATATAATAAGCATAAATACAATAAAATAAGAATATAATTTCATGTTACCTTGATCCTGGCAATTGTCAATTTTTTGTAAGCGTGGAGCAAAAAACACGCAAACGTCCCTCGTGGCTAAACCAATGACACTAACGGTTTGAGCGCGTCAGGCGTAGTTTGTCGATAGTTGACGGAAGCAGCCAAGTGCTTACGATCGCGCGAATGTTCATGGGTTCCGTTCAATCACCATAGCTACCATTGCCCGACCGCTCTCATTACCCCGCGTTCCCCTACCTAGTGTTATTTTCCAGAAGGCAGATCCATGTTGAGATATCATGAAATAAAAACTATGTAAGCATTTATACATGCTTGCATAGTTTTTATTTCATGATATCTTCTGACAGAAAGTCAAAATTGCTAATTGAAATCTACGAGTATGTCATATTTGATGTGGTTTACAATAGGATTTGTTTTGTAAGGCACTGTTAATAGGTTAACGTTAAAAGGATTCTCACCAGTAGGTATATGATAGTAGTAAGTTTAAAAAGCTTTAATTACAGATCAGCAAGTCAGCCTGACTTTACGGCAGCCGCGAACGAAGACAGCGGCATTGGGCAGGAGGTGATGCTGCAAGAACCCGCTAGTATATTCGAAAGACCTGGCTTTGGTAGTGTTGCGTTCAGGTAACCGCATTTTGTTTAAGGAAAAATATCGCGATGGTGTGTTCCCTTGCACACAATCCTGTGACTGCTAATGTAACTCTAATGTTGACTAAAGGGTAATTCTCGTCATAAAAAATCGTACAAAATTCATCATCATCATCATCATCAACGCAGTCGATGAATCGGTCAGTCAGTCGCGTATAGGTATAAATAGCAAACCGCTAGTAGAATATTAAAAAAATGTGGAGGAATGAAAGGCTCGAGGTGAAAATGTATGCTGTTTATATTTCAGACGTTCGATAACAGCGACCCTGAGCTCGCTGGGCGGCGCCGCGCCGGGCGAGGACCTGTCCATCGGCTCGGCGGGGTCGCTGGCCGCGCGCCACGCCTACCAGCCCGCCGAGTGGACCTCCGCGCACTCCGGTACTACACCACTGTTGGTTGCTCTAACAGACACCTAGGGAAACGTGCCTGATATTATACATTTAATGAAGCCTTACTGTTAGGAATGTTCACAAATAGTGTAAAGAAAGATTCAGTAACTTGTAAAACGACACCAGATCTAATTGTTCCTTTCAGTACCTACAGTATTAAAATCACTTTTTTGTACTGAACATCTTTAGTAAAAAACAAAGTCGATTGACGCGTCTATGTGTCAATTTCCTCTAATTTGCCTCCTTAATAAACCTTAAGAGGTACTTAAAAATACACTGACGTAATGTATTTCTTAACTTATTCTTTTCTCCTTTTTTTCTATTATTCTAGTAACATGAGCACCGGCTTTAGTTTTGCTCTTACAGACGTACAATGGCGTTGCATGTAAAATTACTTAAATTAATGTCACATGGTATCATGAATGTATATACATCTCCACCAATAATAACCTAATCATAAAATTATAACGTCAAAACAGCAAAATTCTGTAAACATTCTTAGAAAAATAAATTACAGATGTTGATAGGAACTTGGTAGGAACTACAGTTATCACAGTTATGCCTCTCACTTAAATGGTTTCTTTAAACAGTTTCTACAACACGCTTGGAAAATGCTTCAAGTTCTTACAAGATGTAAAATCACTTTCTTTAAATCAAGTTGTTTATTCTTACAGAAAGTTCAACTATAACATCAGACGAAGAAAACGAAGCCGAAGAATCAGGCTACGGTTCCCTCGAACGCTTCCTTACAGCTTGGGGTCTCTCCCAGTACGTGCAGAAATTCAAAGACGAGCAGATAGACCTGGACGCTCTCATGCTGCTCACTGAAGGAGACATGAAATCACTAGGCCTGCCTCTAGGTCCATATAGGAAGTTGGTCACAGCCGTGCAGGAGAGGAAACAGGCATTGTCACATCCTGGTGCTATTATTGATACTGCTGTTTAATTAAGTTAATCGTGCATTCTACGAGTACGTGTCTGACACCCGCCCTTCTAAACATTAAGACATCTTATTCTGGATAATTAGATGCTCATCAAAAGTATTTCCTTATCATGAGTTGACGAATGAACAAGTTGTGTTTTTTTTTTGCATTTTTGTCCTGCGCAAGAGAACTTACCCTTTTAAATGTAGGTACCAACAGTCGCTCGGAGGTGGAAATTCGACCATAATTCATAAATTGCTCTTACTTGCAAAAGATTCGATTCCACTTCCGTGGCTCAAGATCCAACACGAGTATCATTTTCTAGCCAAACAACCTAAATTGCGTTACTCACATTAAAAAAATTGCCATATTCTTTTCAAGTATTTTTTATGAAAGTTATGAAAACAAATGCAAAGATAAGTCTACTTTAGTTATGGATCATTTAAAAAGAAATCCTGTTAATACAATTTCGATGTTTATTGTATTTTACTCTTTAGAACCTGGTCATTGCAGTATTTCGTCATTATTAAATAAGTCACTCAATTATAAGTCGTCGTTGTCTCAAAGTCGAATAAACTATAACGACAGAACAAGACTAGCTGACACTTCATGCTTGAAATGCTCTGAAATATTCCGTAATTTTTTATCTATATATACACTGTGTGTTTTACTATAGTTTTTTTTTTCAAAAAAGTTTACATTTTTATTGAAATATATTGTGCTTCATGAATTGTAATAATAATGTTTGAGAATCATTCCATCCATTGTACCGTCCACCAACGCCATATTAAATATTTTTGTACAGATTTAAATATATTTTGTATGAAATTGGCATTTTATTAATATTATTTTAAACCTATTTTCATACCTATGTAGTTTAAGAGAATAATTCCCTATCGTTTGTTTTATACCCTGTTGTCCATGGGTCAGGTGCTAAAAAAATGTATCACGTAGTTTCCTATTGATCATTTTTAAGTTGCAAAATCTCTATAAGTACTCGAGTTTCTTCGTGTTCGCGCTCCGATTAAAACGCTAAATGATGTCTGAACGTAAAATATTTTTATCTAAAACGTGCAATACACGCTCTTTTTGAAATCGAGATCATAGTTTTATAGGCAGGTTTTAGTTCAACTGAACCTTTTCTTTTTCGACTTTTAACGGCAGCATTAATCTTTTTATATTCGGAATTATGGTCATATCTATAAAACATTGTCTGGATATTCCTTTTGAAATTTTATACATTTTATAACCATGATACGATTACCAAATCACCATTTTCATCTTTATTTCTATTTTTCATTGTAGTATGTTAGATTTTTTATGAAATTAAGATATTTTGAGTTGGAGTTTGAGTAAGTGCACGTTGTAGGCTCTATTTGTTCTGTGTTTGTGAGCTTTAGGACCTCGAGCAGATTTGAAAATATGTACCCAACCTTTCATAGTGAAAATCGATTTATATTTTATTTCAGCCTTAATAGCTGAATGGATAGAACCACAGTCCATATGAGTGGCCTAACTATAAGAATTTGAGTTCTATCTTTTTCAAAGAACTTAAAGTTTGTACAGCATAAAGCAGGATTGCAACTACTTGTTGATCTCGATTTTGTCCTCCACATGCATCACAAAATAGTGAAATTTCTGAAGCAGTGATTCAAGAAAATTGAACAATATTGAGCCTATTTCGTTACCTATTGTTATTGCCGCAAAATTCTCACTGGTTTGTTATTTTTATTATCTTTCCATCAAAACATTTACCACTTACATCAATTTGCAAGTTTTCCATTATCTTGCACTTCACGTATCATTTTTAAAGATCTGGAACCCATTTTGTTGGTTATTAAGTTAACTAAACAAAAACTACTTAAGTCCAAGTTAATTTTACCTGCCGAGTTCTACCAATATTTTGAATTAAGTGATTTTTGCTTCTTGGAATACCGTATTATGCATATATATGGAAATGATGACTTTCTCCTGGGAAAGTTGTTGATATTTTAATGGACTTAGTGTAAAAAACATCTTTCCTATTGTTTGTACTTAGTGACTTCTTCCTGTCACCCGACGTATGTTTATGTTTAAATATATGTCTTCTTATTTATATATGTATGCAAATGTGTAATATAATATTAGTAATTATACGGAAATTGTTAATGCACCACACGCTACAATCACATCTTTATATACATATATATAATTATTCTGTGCGTGTATGACTGAACTCCTCCTTAACGACTGGACCGATTTTGATGTCATTTTTTGTGTTTAAATGAATTCGAGATTGGTTTTTTAGATTCATAATCCGGTAAAAAAAAAGAACAGTAGTTTTTTTTTTCGTATTTCAGACGTGTACAGGACGTCTGTCGGGTCTGCTATTTATTATATAGTATAGTTCATCTAAAGGGTGTTTGGAAGAGATCGCAGATAAGGCCGCCCATTGTATCACTGTTTTCTTGTTTGTATTCTACATAGTATGTATCCTAATGATGGTGTGCAATAAAGAATACCTACCTATCTCTAAGTAATATATCAGTTAATTTACCTTTCATAGTACAAGCTCTGCTTAATTTAAAACTAGTTAGCGTTGTGAGTCAGATGGCCAAAATTTTGTTTTTCTAAAATTCAATATTTGATGGTTCCAGAATGTTAAAATGTAAATATCCAGATTATGGACCATTGTTTGCAGTTAGCACCTTTTACGCGATAGGTTAGTGTTCACATAAACAAATTAAACACCAAGTACTTTAAATTATTTTTATTAAAGAAGTTTTAAATACAATTAAAAATAATCTATCGAATTATTGTAATAAGTAACCTATACTGATTAATTTACAAGTAGTTCATCGCTAACTCATTGGTACGATACCTCGACGATTTTGACTAAGAGCATTGTATACAAAAATCCAAAGAATTCTACCATTATGCTAACACATACATCTTAATAGGGACGGTTTTCACGATTTGACATACACCATACATAAGTACAAATTGATCTACATCCTATATGTGTACACAAAAGAAATCAAGATATATCAAAAAGTTAAATATATCGTGTTTCTTCGACCATCAGAATTACCTACCTTGCATTAAAAAATTTGTGTACAAAAATATTATTTCTAACTACGTTACCTACACATTAAATAAGATTAAGATATGTTTAAAACAGTACGAATGAGCAATATTTATTACATAGAAGGCACAATACTTTCGGATACATTGGAAAGAGTAAATAATTACAGTTATATAAACAACAGGTCTTAACTGCGTTACTATCCAAGGTAAACATAACCGTAAATTAATGCTGTTGCGGTCGAAAATGCACTAACTGTCACGGGTGTTTCAGTCAACTAACAAACGCAGATTAGACCCGTTGCTTACTTTAATATATCAGAGTAAATAAACTACAATATTTATGAATTCTTAGCGTATAACTTAGGTACTATAAGAGTTTTGTTTCATTTCTGTATGTTATGGCGGAGTCTTTACTAACTTACTCCTAATTTATATCTTTCGATACGTTAAAATAATTGGTGATTAACTAAAATTCGTAGCAAAGAGATGTTCGATAAATTGTCGTATAAAACGTTTAGGTTCAGTGGTGTCAGAGTTTCGTATAGCCGTGCGCAGAGCTTCGGCGCGAGTTCGAATCACCGACTTCACCGAGTGAACAGTAAACTCACGCCTCAGCAAAATTGAAAGTGCCAATAGTTTAAAGAATTATATCTCTCAACCAGATTCGGGCCACCCATTTGTAGTAAAAAACAGTGTATGTTATACTTCTGTAGATAAAAGACGTTTTTAAATGGAATCATGGGTTGTGGCGTCATACACTGTACGGCAATAATCGAAACTCGTAACCATTGCATTTCAGTTATATTTCACCTACACCCGCGCGGGACTTAATACATGAACGCTAGATACACGTTACTATTTTTAGAGGACAACTTCTTATTATACTGCCTATAACGACCGAATCGGCACCCATCATTTCGGTAATACGTATACTCTGGATACGGGATGTAAGCACCGGTCGCTGGATCCAGGGGGACCATGATGGGCAAGTCCGACATTGACGCGGGAACGTCAAAAGACGACCCTGAGTCTGATTCCCTGGGCTCGGCATATTGAGGACTATCGCCCTCTATTTGGTTTTCGACATCATAGCTCTGATTGCACACCGGGACACTCCGACTGGTATCAGCCGAAATATTGGATCGTGATCGTAGAATCAGCCGCGTTGATGAAAAATCGTTTGAATGCTGCAAACTCTTTGATCGAGGTCTAACTATATTCGGAGGCGTCTCGTCAATGCGTGAGAGCGTGTGTCTTCGAACAGGTCGGTAGACCTTCCTGTCGCCAAGCTTCGGCCGCTTGATTGTGCGGTGGGAGTTGTACGTCTCGTGGGATGATTCAATGGAGGGAGGAGATTGGGGTAGGGTTGGGTTGGGGTTACGCGCGGGTGCCTGCGGGGCGGGAGCGTTAGCGAAGTTAGCCGCCACGAGGTCCCTCATCTGGTCACATGCTCAGTAGTTGTAGGGTCCGTACTGGGATCCGTGGTAGTATGGGCCTGGGTAAGCTTGAGGTGGCGGGTATCCTGCGTAGGCATACTGTTGTTTCTGGGGGTACACTGTAGAAAATATAAATTAAAATGAGTTTCCACATAATTATTTTTAAATTCAGTAATCGTAAAAAATATGGATACAACAAATTAAATCTGAAAAAGACAAGTCCTAAAATATTTTTCAAAGTCATTCAAAATTGTAGTTAAATTCATCCATATTTATTACAATTGCCCTGGAAAACAAAAGTGAGCGTCTTTGTAATTGCAAATTGAGTTAAAATAGTTTAGTATAACTCCAACCAGCCATGCAATCAGACCTGTTTGAAAAATATTTACAAGAGATTTTTAGTGTTGTGTTGGTTGGTCTGCCCATAGTGCTTGTCGGTGTTGCCATAACTTTTATACTTTCTCTATATAATAATGATCTAGTAAATTGCTTAACCTACATTATTAAATCTTTATTGGTTATTATTTAGAAACCCGTAATTATAAAAACAATTTCTACTGTAATGAGGTTAATCGTACTCTACCTACTTTAAATTCCTAGTTTATTAAAATTAAATTATGATAGTGTATCTACAATAAAACGTGGTACCCTGGTAAGTGTCAGAGAACACTTGGCTATAGCAGCTCGAGGTTTAAAAGCATTCAATACTTCAAACCTTGTGCCTATCTGTCAAATGTCAAGGGATGCCCAAAGTGGTCGATATTGACCCCTTGGGGTCGAAATCTGTTTCCCAGGAGTCGACATAAACGAAAACTGATTTTGGGGGTCGACGAAGTCTAAAAATCGATAATCGATCCCTATTAATTAAAACAAGTACTTATTTGAAACTTTCAAGATACTGTATAAGTTGTGTTTCGTGTACCAACTTGTTATAAGACTGACTAATATGTCTATTTATTTTGTTGAATTTTGATGAGAAAAAGACGTCAAGTTCACTCACTTAACTAGCGACAAAGTTTTTAAATTGGTAAGTATTTTGTATCAATAGGAAAAATAATAGACATAGGATTTTTAAAGTCATTATGCTATGAGGGTCTGCCGTATCACTTCATTTTGGAAAATGGGTCTCTAGGCCAAAATAGTTTAGGGATCCCTGATTTAGACCAATACGCATAAACATGTGTGTTCATTACTTGTCCCTAAATCTAGCATATCAGCTCAGAGATTAATGTAAGCATACCCGGCATCAGGTACTGCATGTTAAGCGCCTCCTCCCGCTCCCGCTCGCCGCGCAAGCAAATGGCCGCCGACGAGAACAAGATGGCCGACAGCAACGATAGGCCAACGCCGCACCACGCGACCATGTACGACCAGTCGTACCACACGCGAGAGTTGTCACGTAATATCTGGTTTATACCGTTGTTTCGTTCGGATGTTAATTTTGTAAGGTCGTGTATATGTGCACAAAGATATGCAAGTGCGTGCAGATTTATAAACATATGTTTTCAAATAATTAATGTAGAATGTGATTTTTTGAATACACGTCATTATTTTAAATTTCAGTTTCAATTTTGTATATTTGTGCAGTAAGATATGTTATAGATTATATGTAAGTATATTTACATTTATGTGAGAATTAAGTTTAGTTGTCGGAGTTATATTTATATATACAGCACCAGAGTTAATTTCGTTTGTAAGCATGTTAGTATTGCGTTTTGGCGTAAACCAGATATTATGAGATAGCATTTATGTTATATGCATCAACGACCGGTCGCATTGCCGCCAAGTTATACGCAGTAGCCAAGTTTCATAGAAACATGAAAAAAAGAGAAAAAGCTTTTTGTTAGTATAAGATACTTACTTGTATTTCATTTAAAACTAAGTTATTTTTGACTTATGTTCTAGTGGCAGATATGTTTGCAGATATATGTTTTATATTTATCTACATGAAAAGTGGTAACCCAATTCAATCACAAACTACCTATTGCAAACATATCTTTCTTATTTTTTATTAACAATAGGAAAATAAGTAAAATGTACAAAAGAGTGTCAAAATTTGCCTCAACCGCCAAGCGTTACAAAATGGCCGCTTTTCAAATGGCGGTCTAACCTGGCATTATGTACTGCACATTGTTCTGTTGCTCCCGCCTTTTTTCTTTGCTCAGACAAATGGCGGCGGAGAAGAATAAAACGGAGCTGGCGAAAGAAACGCCGACGGCCAGCCACGCGAGAATGTACGACCAATCGTACCAGATTGATGAGTTGTCTTTTAGTACCTGATTTTCAAAGATTATAAGTAACACGTTGTTCCTGTGAAACTTATTGCTCTAGATAAATGTATTACGCATTAGAATACTTAAGTAGGCGCTAAAGTTATGGACTTTTGAGCTTTCGCGTTCTATGTTTAAATTATTTCGTGGTCCGTGTTCATAGGTCAGTAAAGTCAGGATGTGACAACCAGTGTCAATTTATCAGTAGGCAATTCAAAGATCTGCTACTACTTAATCTATAAACGTTGTCTATGTGTGTCGTAAAACTACCATTCAGTATAAACCAATACTTTTCAAATAGTAGAGAAAAAAAAATGAAACGAAAGGGTTGTTCTATCCTATTTTTTTAAACTCTTTTATTAGCTTGGTATGTATGTAACGGTAACGGTATGTATGTAATCTTCGAACGTGATTTTGACCCACTTGAAAATGTCGAATTAAATTGAAACTTCGCACACTTATCAAGGACCGATGACAATACAATAATTTGATAAATTTGGCTGATTATCAAGATCAGCATCATCAGGATTAACGGATTTTTCCATGCCTAAAAATACGGTAGTGTATTTTACTACGTACTAAGAGTCCTGTGCTGAAGCAAATGTGACTTACTTTTTTAGTCTCAATGAGAAAATAATCATAATTAATGACTAAAAAGCAAAAATAAATTGGTTTAAAAACGAAAAAACACGCTTTTAAAAAAATGATTAATTTATTTAAAAAAAACAATTTATCGTAAAAAAGCCTGGGATATTTTTTAAGATATTTTATAATATAATAACTACTTTTACCAATAATACTCTTTATTTTTTTACAACAATTGAGATCTAGCACCCCACGCATGTTTATGATGAAATGATTTTTCTTCTTGGACTTATAGAAAATTATTTTCTACTTTTTGTTCGGCTATTTACAACAGCGTGTTTTTTAGTTTTTTTATACTATAATTTATTCAATTTTGAGTTTATTTCTGTCATACTATAAAAACGTAATTACTTTTACCAATCCTCAATGCCAATCCAATAAAACAATCTACTTACATTGGGCCACTGTTGGTAAAACTCTTCGCCTACAACCTTCTCCTTCTCATAGAATTCCACTCCGTGCCATAATGCCATCGCACCTGCTGCTAATAAACCTGGAAAGTAATAACACAGTTTGTTAATACATATGATGTGAGTATACCTATATTTGTATCTATTCCTCGTAGTTCTCAAGTTGGCATGAATTCTTTGTTCTCTGTAGAAATGAAATTCGGACTTAGGTTATGGAGTGAGTGTCATGTTTGCAAGCTGCTACTAGTTAAATCAACGGACGGATATACGACGTCTCGACGGTCGTCGGGCCCCCGCATTTTAAACCTCTAATATCTTCTACAATATTCATTTTAACTATAAGCTGTAATCTACATTAAATGCACAACGTATTTAATTTGATAAAAATAATAATGTTATGTTTAAAATAGTTTTTAAAAGATAAACATTGTTCCTGTGGGTTACCCTTAGGAGATGGACACATACTTTTGTAGATCTTCTTAAGGTATACAATTGCGTAGTACATTATTTTGGACTATCTCATAAAGTTTAGCCAGCGTTTGCAATGTAAGCGCACAAAAACATGTTTACAACAAATCTTTGAAATTCTCGGATTTACTCTGCTATAATATGTATGTATTGTACACATAAACCTTCCTCTTGAATCACTCTCTCTATTGGTAAACCCGCATTAAAATCTGTTGCTTAGTTTAAAAGATCCAAGCGTACAAGACAAAAAAGCGACTGTTAAACTATGTAAAGATTTTTTTGAAAACGGGTTTACAGCGGACTATGTTGAAGTCTGAGATAATTAAACTGTGGAACCAAACTACAAGTAATGCGGGGTAAGATATCTTTACCTGCATGGGACGTGGAGACTTTCAATTAACATATACATATAAATAAACTTATTACAACTATTTGTGGATTTACCGTAATATAATATAGTTTTCTTTTCCGAAAAGCATACCCAGAAAACTGTGGTAGCAGTTTACAAACTCTTTACAGAAATTCTTACACTTCATCAAATATATGGTATGCTAAAAATTTACTCCTACTGTTTAGAAAAACAATAAAAGTGAAATGGATGTTATATTAAAAGCTATTGGGTTTTAATTCGTAATTATTAAGGGTATTACGGTAGCTCAATATCAAGTTATATAACAAATATGAGGAAAATAAACTTACATGTGACAAGCATGAGTATGGCAGTGGCGGTGATGTTGCCAGGGCTGCGCTTCCAGCAGCCAACGACGCCAGTCCAGAAAGCGATAAAGAGCGACAAGAAAGCCACGATGAAGAGAGCAACTGTCGAACGCGCCATATGTAGCCTGAAACCAACGAACCATTAGTACGAAAAATACGAAAAATACCATTAGTTGTTAAGTCAGTTCTAAATAACCTGAAGTACGGTAGTTAGATTATTTCCCAGAATAAATAAAGTTAACTTTTCATTCTAGACAATTCTAGAGTGACATTGAACACTTTTGAAATATTTACATTTACATTTTTTAGTAAAAAAAATATGTTTTGCATTTTTTTATTTTAATAAATATGGGAAAGCCAAAAAAAAGATTTCACACTCACAAGCGTGAACTGAAACATGAGTAAAACCGGAAACTGCAAATATTACGGTAAAGCTATTTAACCGCAACACAGTTAACAGTATTGATTACAGCGGTGTTTTGTGTCGAATAACCGAAACTTACGCAAACTCACAAGAAATATTTTTTTTGGCATCGATAACTGCTTACTATCACAGTCACTAATTGTTTGCCAAATTAGTAACATATACATTTAAAAAAAAAACTGCACCACGCTTTTCTTACTTTAATCCTTGTAAGTTGCATTATATTAATTGGAATGTTATAAATTGTCATAGCTTACTGAAGTTTTGTAACATAAATTTATTATTTTTATAATTGCTTACTACTGAGTTCTAAGACTGACATTACTTACTAAAGAAACCGTAAATAGAATAATTTAGTGATATGAAACATTTAAGGCATTTGCTGACAAGCAACGTATTGATCTTTGTAAAAAAAAAACAATAAAATTTAATAACATGCGATCTGATTACCAGGACATGAATAGCTCGTGTCTTATCCGCCACCCTTTAAAGTATTGCAACGACTATGTATAATTTAATAATCATACTCGTAATTTAATTACTATTGGCTAATCGCTAAATAACTCCTTAATAGTTATTACCAACAAAAATATTACTCAATAAACAAGGTTTCAAACCGGATAAATGATTAATAGTCCAACATTTTAATTTATCGTTTACCGCTATTGTTTTACACACACATTGCTAAGTCATGAAACTATTTGCGAGACAATATTGATGGTTCATGTTTCGATAGGAATTAAATAACTTGTAATTGACATGACGTAACATAATATTTATTTGGCACAAGTTTATTGTGGCATAAGGAGCAAACGAGAAGTCTTTAATAGTTCACTGCCGGACATGGGCCTCTCCTTCGAAAGGAGGTTTTGGCCTACTATACCACGCTGGCCAGACGGGTCGGTTTAGATTACCATCAGGCGGGTAGTTACTTGCCATTAGTCACCTGATGGTAAGTCAGTGCCTTTGTTCCCACACAAGTGCGTTGCCGACATTTAATTGCCCTCCCCAAAATTAGGAAGGAAGCAACGAAAGAATTGTTTAACATTGGTTTTCTGGTATCATCGCTCCAATCAAATCGGCCCATATATGCCCAAGCATAGCCACCCACCCCCACGGCTAATCGATTGTTAATTTTGTCTTTATGATGTTATGGTTAGATGGTGTCATAAATACTATTTATGTCAATACATAGTCTACAAATATTTACCTGTTCATCGCGTCGTCGGAGAGTCCTTTAGTTTCGTTATTTTCGTCAGGTATGAAGTAGTCCACATTGCTACAGTGTGTTTCCACTGGTGACAGATAGATTTCCACTGTAACAGAACAAAATAAACCTATTTAGACTAACGTATCATATATTTTTCGTACAGATTTTGATACTTACTAATTTACTACAATAGTTCAGAATTAGTTAGCACAAAATAAAATGACCAGTTATCAATATCGACATACGTTACGATCAATTTTCTTACTGCAAATGTAAATTTGTCATTAGAAAGAATATTTTATGTGATAATAACTACAAATTAACAATTTTCTCATTAAGTCATTATCTTTTAATTTGCTATCAGATATTGTTCCTTATTAAATGTAGATTTTAGGTCAACGAGAAGAATCTATAGGTTTGGAATATCTATTTCAGGAATTGTATACAATGACGGATTCTAACCTATTCCGTAAACATATAAATATATAAAGATCAGTTTCATCAGTTATATAGCTTTATAAATATGTTGAAAATATCATTTGAATGCCGATTGTTGAATCATCGCATACCGTATCCATTTGTGGCAAACACAAGAATGCTGTATTTACATCCTTCCTTTCACACATTTAAACACGGCGAGCGGTCAAGGTGACCATACTTTGACAAAATTCTTTGCCTAGATAATGATATTATAATTATGATAAGAATTTTTTCAAACGTCTCAAACTAAAAAACTGGCAATAATTATTAAGTAAACGAATTTTCAAAATTTTGTTTAGTGTTTTCTTTTAGACCTGATGGTGATACCCCGTTCCGACTTTCTTCATAGTTTGGTTTGTTTTATGAATACCAATAGCTACTCGTATTATAAATAGTAGTCAGTCGAATCAAATGTATTTCATGGTTATTTTTGGAAACTCTAAATATTCATAAAATGAGAACTTTTTTCCCTGTTGAGTTTCCACAAGAGAAAATATCGGATAACAATTTTCAGACTGAGGTAAATTATTGAGACTCGTAAAATATTTAGTCGAAACTTAAAAAAAGGAATTTTGTTTGGTTTAAGAATAGTAATCTTTTTTAATGTGAATGCTGCTTCAAAAAAGTTTTAACAGTTGTGCTTGAGAACATATTTTTATATTATCATAAGTTCGTGAGATCGTGTTTTTGTAACGATTTGTAAGAAATTAATGACTGTTTTGTTGATTTCCTTGTCTGATTCTATTGAATTCTCAGATTTTTTATAGATAATGAACTCATGCTCTCAAATTCCTAATTTAAGGATATTATCTCAAAAAATAAGTTAGTTGAGCATCCAGCAAACCATCGACTTAGTATATGAACTGCAACGTTAGTACCCATATTAAATACTTATTTCTTACGATTGACAGACACGTTGATAACCTTGACTGTTTCTGCATATTTAGAAATAATAATAGGAAATGAAAAATTTGCACTAAGTTTAAGTGATAATTTGTGTACTAAGTTTACATAGTCTAAACGTGATGTTTACCAAGATTAACATATTATACTCTCTAACTTTAATCGATCAAAAAGGTGTTCATACCATAAGGAGTACCTACTACAGCTCAATTTAAAAAGAAAGTAGTACGTTACACAGGACAATATTTATAACATTACTTAGTGTCTCACAACAAAATGAATTCTGCCAAGCAAAGGGTTTCGCATATTCGCCGTTTTTCAGAAGACCATGACCAAAGATTAATTCATTGAACTTTTAGATTTTTGATACTAACGTATAGATACTGTTGCGAAAGCATTGAAGGTTGTATTGAAAATCTTCATAGTATAAGTGAGCATTATTCTTATAAATATTAGAGAATGGACCAGTTTTACCTTTTATTGTTTTGTCAACGAAATTTCCCACGCGCCTGCTTAAAAAAGCCATACAAGAGTTATTACAGTAGCAAAACTCAGGGTGTTCTACAATGGTCTTTAACACACAACAGATCGAGTTGAAAATCCTCCTTCTTTCCGGCTGCATTTAAGCAGGAAGCTCTGCACTGAATGGGCGTGAACGCTGAACACTGACGGTCGCATTTCGCAAGCCATTGTCTTACACTACTCTTATAGAAGATTCACACACAATGGAAGAGCAATAACAATTAAAATATAGTTATATAAATAAAATTAAACACGTGTCATTAAACTTAATTTTGAACACTTCTTATAGAAATATTGCAACATATTACCATGAAACCTGTTTTTTTTTAATAAAATGGGACCAAATTTATTAAAAAAAAAACCTTTTTAACTCCGCCGTAGGAAAATAGATTTTTTTTCCTGTTATCGAACCCCAAACCTGAAGATTGCTTTCACCTTTCACTGTGGAATGTAGTCAAGATGTGTCCACGGTATGAACGACCCCTTACGTTAGTAATGAGGCACAGGAGTAGCATAACTAACTGCACGCTGAAGATACTATTATATTAAGAGCGATGCTGCCGTTAAAACAAGTATTGTAATATTATATTTCATTCCATAGTTAAGCATCATACAACCGTAAAAAACTAAAGAGACAAGGTAACTAATTGCTAAAATGACAGTGTCGATTAAAGAACGATAAAATAGCAGACATGATAATCGCTGAATCTCATTCACACGTATGTATAATAAACAAGGCCAATAGAAGGTTGAATATCTGAAACCGAAAGTGAGAAAGTACGTCTTCGATAAGATGTCAAACTTGCACTTGTAATTAAAAGATTCTTGTAAATTAAATAGTACATCTTTTTTCGCTCAATGCAACATTGCAATTAAGAATGAGATTAAATCACGAATGTACAATCCGTAGACTAGAGAATAACCAATCAACTGTGATAGACAGTTTCCTTGGAAATAATCTTAAAATCTACATAATTTATAAAATTAATTAACTTTATCTAAAGATTTAATTGGTGTTATTTTAAATGAGATGTTTTATTTCCGTGTGAAAAATAAAAGAGGCGAATATCTGTATTGTGGTGTAATTGACTATTTTTACAAAACCTCCTTTCTAAGGAAAGGCCTATCTCCAGCAGTGTACGACTAAAGGCCGTTGATGACTAATTTAACTAAAATACCGAGCTATCATCTCGGTGTTTTAGTAAACTGGATTATAATATATAGTTTATTTGCAGTAAAATTAGACTTAGTTCTACGGACTAGTTCTTAGGGTGTAAATTGGATACATTGAACGTGTTGAGACACAATGAATTACGTACATATACTTTATAAACAGTTATTTTAGAAACGATAAAGAAAACATACTTAATCTCCAAAAAAGTTTTAAAAGTAATTATTTTTATATAAATATAAATAATTACTTTTAAAACTTTAAAAATTATATAATTATTTATTTTAATTATTTATTTAAAAATTACTAATTATTATTTATTTCTATGATTAAATTATATATTTATTAAAATTATATATCTATAATTTAATCATAGAAATAACCGGTAGTCAGCAGCTTTTAGCGTCGCGTCGTACACGAAATAATATTTCCGTTACATAAGTAAATAAAATATGTATTATTAGTTATTATATTGTAGGATATCACAAGATACAACTAAAAACAAATGTCAATACGATGTTTACCGATGTTTACCGAACGCCTCCGAAGGATAAGATTACGTACAAATATTTTAGCAGTTCATTTTAGTTCGCACAAGGTCGACAGCAGACAAACTAGTAGGTGCTATAAAGTAGCTACAATTGTCGAGTGCTTATTATGTTTGGTATGAATATTCAATCAGCATCAATATTAATAGTTGGACCAACACATTGTTCTACCTACATGACTATGGCGATAGCATGCAATGTGCACTTGCTAACTGCCAAGTGAAATAAGTGGTACAAGTTATAAGAATTGCAAGTAAGTTATTTGACTTACTAGCGATCAAACGTTAATTACACTAATATTAAAAAGGCGAAAATTTATGAGCTTGTGTGTGTTTGTATGTTTGTTACTTCATCGCGCTTAAACAGCTGGACCGATTTTGATAAAATTTTGTATGGAGGTAGCTGACACCCTGGATTAACACATAGGCTATACATCCCGAAATAATGGGAATGGGATGAGCAAGATACAACAACAACCACGGGTAACACTGCGGGGCGCAGCTAGTACTTAATTGTAATATAGTAGGATAGTATACTCATTATACCGGACATTAACCGGACGACGCGATGTATCATAAAAAGATTCAAAGAGACTTAGAAGAATACTATAAGAAAATTTAAATCGCTAAACGTTTCAATGCCAACTCAGTCATTTGTTTCCTGTCTAATAACCTCAATTTATCAAAATTAATTATTAGCAAGCTTATGCTCGATATTACACTCCAGGGTATTATTAACCGCTGCACGCACATAACTTGGCCCACAACCGAATACAGAGAACTAAGAAATAGGTAACCGGGTTCCGCGACATTTTGTCGATCCGTAGGCGAACTGCGTAGAAAGTTAACATGTCCTTGTTAAGTCAAGTTAATGTCCTAAGCCGAGCAGGTATTGCTATCAATACTACCTAGCCTACCTACTAGCTCAAAATTCCAAGAGAAATAAGCGACTAAGAATAACAATCACGAGACTGTTCCTGCGTTTGATCAGACAGATCATGCAATTTAAAACCTATTTTGATTTTGGGCTTAATTTAGATGCGAACTGAAACACAAAAACGAATACAAGGACATTTAAGGATACAATAGTGCTAACTGCAAAACCATTGCTTTCATATTCGCGATATCGATAGTTTTTTGAATTGTTCAAAATATCTAATGGTCTAGATTCGGGAAAAATCGACAGCTCGATACTTAAGATTTGTTAACTGATTCTTGCGAGTTATGTAACATAAAAAAACTAAATTGTTCTTCGAACGATTAAAATACGATGACAGTGTAATTGAGCATTTAAATCTTTTGCTAAACATTCCTGGAATGATTGATGTTTTTGTAGCCTCCGTTACTGTGTGATATTAGTATCAAAATTAACTTTTTACAATTACATCTTACGTTGTCTTAGTTAAGAAAGAAATATGTCATTTAACATTAAAGTAATTACATTAAAAATATTTTTAAGCTTCCTCATTTCTTACATTATGCA